AAATACAAAGTACAGTCTGTGTAATAAAATGAAACTGAGTAAGATTGAACGCACGATAAAATTCACAAAGCGAAAAAACCAAAGTCTGCCAGCCAAATCACACTGTAAAATAAGCAACAGTCGTAAAATCTGGAAATGCTCTGTGGAACTCTACTGGGTAAAGCCAGCTTGCCAGGCCGACAGAACTGACACATTAATCTTCATGCGCTGCTCTCTTCTCCGGCACTCACTTCCCGGCAAGACCGAGAAATAATTGGAATTATTTTGGGGGGGTGTGTGCATTATAAGTTGGAACAGGAGTCCCGGGATAGTTGAATTAAATTCTGGTTTTCATTGTTTTAATGGTGTGTGCAGTTCATTTTTGATGACTTTTAAGATGAGATTGTATTACGGGTGTTTTAATTTCAAATTGTGGTCCTTTCTGTGTTGCTATGCAAAGCCAGGCAATGGAACACTTTGCCTGGGGCAGTGATGCTCTGTCTTCTTGGTGCTTGGGGGGGCCACAGTGGGAGGGCTTCTGGAGTTCTGGTCCCACTGGTGGATCTCCTGATGGCACCTGGGTTTTGGCCACTCTGTGACACAGAGTGTTGGACTGGATGGGTCACTGGCCTGATCCAACTTGGCTTCTCTTGTGTTCTTATGTCTGGGGCAAGGGATGCTCTGTATTCTTGGTACTTGGGGGGGCCACAGTGGGAGGGCTTCTGCAGTTCTGGCCCCGCTACTGGACCTCCTGATGGCCCCTGGGTTTTGGCCACCGTGTAACACAGAGTGTTGGACTGGTTGGGCCATTGGCCTGATCCAACAGGGCTTCTCTTATGTACTTATGGTTTTATGATTGTTTTATTTACATTGTGAGCTTCTTTGGCCCTGACCTGGAATAGCCCAAGCTAGCCGGAACTTGCAGGTTCTCGGAAGCTAAGCAGGGTCAGCCCTGGTGCCTTCTTGGATGGGAGACCGCCCAGGAAGTCCAGGGTTGCTACGCAGAGGCAGGAAATGGCAAAACCACCTCTGTCTCTTTCTCTGACAACCTTAAGGGGTCACCTGTAAGTCGCCTGTGACTTGTCGGTAAAAATAAATAAATAGCCACCTCGGGTTCTGCAAGGCAGAAAGGCAGCTAGCATACCTTTTTAATAAATAAAATACGATTTGTTGGTGTCACGGCTCAGGTGGGGCGTCACCTGACGCTGCCACCACTCTGGATTTAGGTTCCCTTCAGAAGGCCCAGAGCACCCTCCCAAGACCTTCAGACCTCCCTTTTGGCCAAATAAGAGGCGTGAGGAGCAGGCAGAGTGAACAATGAAAATAGTTTATTGTATAAGAGGTCAAACAACAAGGTGCAGAATAATAACAGTAAGTGGGTGAAAATAAAAGAAATCAAATGCCCTAATGTGTCTAAATATAGCCCACTATTCCAAGTGACACTAGACTACTCACCCTTCCCTCAGGATGAGGGTTTCTTCCTGCAGCAGCCTTCCTTCTGGCTCTGCCCTCTGGAAAGAAAGAACCTGGGAAGAAAGAACGGCTTCTGCTCTGGCACCAGCCCTTTTATTCCCCAGCCCTCTTCTTCCCTATTGGTCAATTTTGACTCCAAAACCTCTCAAGGGCTTCTGGTAGTTGTAGGCCCAGCCTCACCTACTGCTAGCCAGGCTCCCTGGGCCTAGTAGGCCTCTGGTGGCCATCTTGGTGTCCCTACAAGGGCATTTGGGTTGGCTCCGAGAGGACTGTGTCTTTTTCAGGGTTTATTTTATTTTATTGATTTGATTTCTATCCCGCCCTCCCCGCGAACGGGCTCAGGGCGGGTTACAAGGTCACACAGATCCGTGACCACAGTAACACGTAGGTTAAAGAATAGTTTAAAAAACCATTTTAAAACAGTAATAAAACAACAATCGCTGCAAAGCCTTGTCTGCTGTGCTCAGTTTAGGCTGATGAGACGCCAGCGATTTCAGTAGGGGAGGTCAAAGTGGATAGCATTGAAATACCTATATAATATTAATCCATTTGGCAACCACTCTAGTCATATCTCCTAGGAGAAGAAGAGGAGGAGGAGGAGGAGATTGGATTTATACCCTGCTCTTCACTCGGAGTCTCAGAGCGACTTACAAGCTCCTTTCCCTCCCCCTCCCCACAACAGACACCCTGTGAGGTTGGTGGGGCTGAGAGAGCTCTTTCCAGA